GATTGATTGATTGATTGATTTTCTTTTGGTAAATTTAGACATTGATCAGGAACAAGAAAAAAGAAAAATCAAATAGAAGTCAAACACTTGCAATGATAAGGTCAAGATATAATGCTTTCTTTACAGTAAACTTTCTTAAGACAAATGTGGCCTTAACTTCTTCAATGACCCATTGACCCACGATTCCAAAAGCACGGTGAGTAACAAACCTGTTTACTAAATCTTGCTTCTACTTTTGTTTCTAAGCGATTTGTTGGTCATTAGGAGAACTATGAGCAGCATCCAATAACATGACTGTGTCTTTTATTTATTTTTTAATATTTTATAATTTGCAAATATCTTTATTAAATCTATGACATGGATTTTTTCAATGTGTATTACATTTTGAAAAGAAAAACAAAAAAAGATTCTGCAGATACTCTGAAAACATAGAAATTTCATTAAACAATTGCAGATTACTGGAGGAAACTAAAATTTGCAATGCAAAATGATAGTCTGTACACAGGTTTGCAACTGCACCCAGATTGCTTGACCTTTCTGTCACTTTTACCTAAATATTTTTAATATCACTCTAATATGTAGCCCATAAAATTCATAAAATTCACCCATTTAAAATAAGCTTTCAATTATGTTAGCATATTATTATGTTTTAAATATATAATGTAAAATTTATATATATATATATTTTTTTTTTTTGAAGCAGATCTTGGTTTCTTTAATCAAAGAGTGTAAGCTATAAGTTCCTGTGAAAATCACCCCAAATATAGCAAAACATTAATACTGCTATCAATTTTCAATTTTTTAGTTTGTATCTGTGCAACATTCTGAAGCATTTATAATTTTAATTTAAAGATTATTTCTTTGTACAAGTTTGTGGTGTATTATGTAAAAATTCAATGTGTAACACAGTATGTAATTATCACATCACAATGGTTAACACTTCTATCACCTTACACTTATTTATAAAGTTTTGATTGACATGTAATATTTATACATAGTTATATGATACAATATGGTATTTCAATACAATTTTACAACATGCACTGATCAAATCAAGGTAATCATATATCCGTTTCCTTGTCATTTGAGCCTAGAGACTTGAGCTCCTCACTTCTAGTTACCAATAAGATGTAGAAAGCCTTATCATCCAATAAGATGTAGAAAGCCTTATCATGAACTGTATTGCTCCCCTTTTCTTTTTTTCCCCATAATTTTATTGATAAATAGCAATGAGACAGTTTCAAATCAAATTGGTAGGACAGTTTCAATAATTAACACACTGCATACATTCTTCCTAGTGGTTAATTGCTGTACAAGATGCAGACATGACATCCTATTTACAAACACCATTAGAACAAATCACTCTAATCATTAAGAGAATGTTACTATATATCTATCCTAACCACTTTGAATACACAGATACAAAATGACTGTGTCTTTTAAACACCAGAAATTTCTCAGAAGATTGTGAACTTAAAAAAAAATTTAAACCTTGATCAGTCATCTCTAAGATGGCGGTTGGCTACAAAGCATCAGCAGTATGAGGAAAAAGAGTGGGAGGGCAGCAGGAGACTGAGGAAGGAAGGAAGGAGGGAAGGGAGGAGGCATGAGAAGGTAAGGTAGCGGTGCTGCGTTCCTGGACCAAGCACACGGTGAACGGAATCGTCACGCAGTGCATCAGTGCCTCGTGTCCAGGAAGCACGCACTTCTCCTCTGAAAAAAGGGAGAAATGGCACTGCATATTTTAGAAGACTTAAACAAAATAATACAAACAACATATGTACGTGTAGATCACAGAAAATTGCCAAAAGTGGTCACATTTTAATTTTCAGTGTCTCAGCTCATTACTTACATTGGTTACCTTGTTTGAGGTACTTTATTATTTTCTCCGATTTATACTTCTGGGAATTTTTTCTTGATGGGAATGAGAGAAAAAAGATCCATTTTTTCTTTTCCCTCACCTTGGCAGATATTGTTCATGAAACTTATGCTAGGGAAGAGGGCCGAGGTTGACCACCCATGTCAGCAAAATCCAGAAATTAGCAACATACGGTGTTGGAAAGAGCACACGTTTGAGCATGAAGAAAGCTTTACTTCAATTTAGGGAAGAACTGATTATCTGAGGAACTCCTGTACTCGCTGCTTCATCTAAAAAGGATGACCTTATTGCTCCTCTTGGGATGCTGCGTGTTCATCTAATTCTCTGATTTGTGTTCAGGGCCTTGTAAGACAGCAGATGCAGTGACACTGAGAAAGATATCGAGCTTTATGAAAACATGATGTTCAAAATATTCATTGGTAGATGCCCATTATGCAAAATAGTGACATGCATTTTTGGATATATATATA